TCAGGGATTGGACTCTTTTTCAGCCCCCACTGAATGCAGTCTCTTTCTGTGCATGAAGATGAGCTTAGGATGTCTTTCTTTCTTTTTTTTTTTAAAGATATTTTTATTGATTTTTTACAGAGAGGAAGGGAGAGAGATAGTTAGAAACATTGATGAGAGAGAAACATCGATCAGCTGCCTCCTGCGCATCTCCCACTGGGGATGTGCCCGCAACCCTGGTACATGCCCTTGACCGGAATCGAACCTGGGACCTTTCAGTCCGCAGGCCGACGCTCTATCCACTGAGCCAAACCGGTTTCGGCAGGATGTCTTTCTTATGGTGCCTTGAATGACATATTCTGCTTTGGGTGCAAAAGCCCATACCAATATGAAGTGCTATCTGTGTTCTGTATGGAATAATAATAATAATAGTAATAGTAATAATAATAATAGAAAAAGCACAAACTTTTAGCACCATCTTTGAACATAGCCCTCTCCCTTGGCAATATATTATCTTTCAACAATACTCAAAAAGGTCTATAGATTATATTGTGAGTGTTATATTCTAACATTTTTTTATTTGCTATTATGTACTGTATCATTTCCCCTCAACAGAAAAGAGTATTTAAAAATTAGAATTGTTCTAGTTGATGGCCAGAATAAGTTTTCTTTTTAAAAAAATATATTTTTATTGATTTCAGAGAGGAAGGAAGAGGTATAGAAACATCAATGATGAGAGAATCATCAATCGGCTGCCTCCCACACGCCCCCTACTGAGGATCAAGCCTGCAACGCAGGCATGTGCCCCAACCGGGAATCGAACCATGACCTTCTGGTTCATAGGTCAACACTCAACCATGGTTTTCTTCAAGCTAAAAATATAACTATTATGATGGCAAGAGACTAGACCTAGTTTTTATTGAAATATAATTAGCATACAGTGAAATGCACATAGCCCTGTCACTTGATGAGTTTTGACAATTATATATACCCATCCCATGTACCATTATCAAAACAAGATATAGAATATTTTTATCATGGTAGCCTGTTCCTTCCTGTCCCCTTCAGTCAATACCCACCACCCAGGGCCAGCCACTATGCTGATTTCTATCACCACCCCTTAGTTTTGCCTGTTTTTGAATATTGCATTTTAAATACAATATGAATGCTTTTGGTCTGGGTTTTTTTCTTAAATATATTTTTATTGACTTCAGAGAGGAAGGGAGAGAGAGTGAGACAGACATCAATGATGAGAGAGAATCATTGATTGGCTGCCCCCTGCACGCCCCATACTGGGTATTGAGCCCACAACCAGGGCATGTGCCCTTGATTAGAATCGAACCTGGGACCTTCAGTGTGCAGGCTGCTGCTCTAGCCACTGAGCCAAACCAGCTAGGGCTGTGTTTGTTTTTTTTTCCACACTACCATGTCTGTAAGATCCACACATGCTATGTATATCTCTAGTCCATTCCCTTGTATAGCTGAATGTTCTGTTGTATATCCACACAATTTGTTTATCCATTCATCTGTTGATGGGCATTGGGGTTGTTTTTAGTTTTGGACTATTTTAAACAAAGTTGCTATGAACATTCGTGTACGAGCCTTTGCATGAGTGTGGCAGAAGACTGTAAAATGGGACCAGTGATTCCCCCTCTTGGCGTTCATGCCATTGCATAACCTCTTTCCCTTGAGTGTGGGCAGGACCCATGACTTGCTTCTGACCCGTAGATTATGACAACGGTAATGGGATGTCGCTCCTGTGACATTGTGTCCTCTGTCTTGCTAGGACACTCTATTGACCTTCTTGCTGCCTACGATGAAACAAGCTGCCCACTGGACAGGCCCTCATGGCAAGGAACAGAGAGCAGCCTCTGTCCAATAGCCATCAAATAACTGATGCCCTCAGTTGAGGGCCTTCAAGGAACCAAGTCCTGCCAACAACCATGTGACCTCAGAAGTGGTTCCTTCCCCAGTCAAGCCTCAGATGAGATCTCCACCCTTGCTGACACCTCGATGGTAGTCTTGTGAGAGATACTGAGGCAGAAGACCAGCTAAGCCATGCCCAGACTCTAGACCAGCTGTGGGCAAACTACGGCCCGCGGGCCGGATCTGGCCCGTTTGAAATGAATAAAACTATTGAAAAAAAAGACCGTACCCTTTTATGTAATGATGTTTACTTTGAATTTATCTTAGTTCACACAAACACTCCATCCATGCTTTTGTTCCGGCCCTCCGGTCCAGTTTAAGAACCCATTGTGGCCCTCGAGTCAAGAAGTTTGCCCACCCCTGCTCTAGACTCACGGAAACTGTGAGATAAGCAATACATGCTTTTCCAGATGCCGAGTCTGAGCTATGTGGCATAGCAATAGATAACAAATACAGTGGGCTGTATTTTTATGTCCCTTGGATAACTATCTGTGAATGGAATGACTAGATGATAGTTGGTACACATTTAACTTTTGAAGAATTTGCAAAGCTACTTTTCAAGCGGTTGCATGTTTTTACTTTCCTATGAGCATTGCGTGAGAGTTTGCTGGCTCCACATCCTCAACAATCTTTTGCGTTGCCAGTCTTTTTGATTTTCCATTCTAATGGGGATGAAATGCTATCTCACTGTGGTTTTTAATTTGCATTTGCTTGACTAATGAATGACTCATCATTGATGTTTCTCTCTCTCTCTCCCTCTCCATTCCTCTCTTAAATCAATAAAACTATTTTTTTTAAAAAAAAGAAAATGCACACTTGGATGCTATACCCAAATTGTGCCACTAGATGGAGCTCGGATGCAGGCATACAGGGCATTGAGGATTTTGCAGTGGCTGCACCTGCAGAGGGTGGGTGACTGTGCTGGTGTCTCTAACAGAAACGGTAATGGAGGCAGGGAGAACTGGACACCTTCAAGGTGACAATCTCCACTTGTGGGGCTGCCAAGATCCGTCTTGGTCCATTCACAAGCCCAGGGCTGATGTCCTTGGCCTCAGGAGGACTGTAGGCCCTGACACTAGCAGGGAACCAGAAGTGGGAGGGTGGGGTCCCATCCTTGTCCTATCTGCATTTACCTGCAGGGAGCCACAGGCAGCTGGATTTGGACACTGGACAGAAACCCTCCCCCACACATGTAAAAACAACCCTGAACCTACAAGCCCCCAACATGCATGGTGCAAAACGGCAAGGAGTGTTTCTAGGTTTTCTGACGGGGAAATTCTGGACGGCCTCATCAGAGGTAGTCTCCGTTCCTGATGTTCTGTCTATTGGGAAATCCTGTGGATGCCAAGCGAGTCTCTTGGCCCTTGGGGACCTCAGTTTTCTTATCTGTGATGTGGGGATAATTGCAGCTGGCGCCTCCTAGGGGAGATAGATGCTCTGTGAGCATCATAGGAAAGAACGGAAGAACCAAGGGAGCTTTGCCAACTCTAAGTGCCCTATGTGCTCGTTGTCTCTCTACGGCATTTACTCCTCTCCCTACTCCTGGAGAGCATGCATCACAGGCCAGGCACGGGTGTCGACCCCTGTAAGGCGGTGCTTCTGTAACCCCAGCAGGCTAGTCAGTGGCAGAGGGGCCCTTCAGACCCAGGCTGTGGCTTTAAAACGTACCCCTCGCCACTACCCCAGACGGCCTCTCCTGCTCAAAGTCAAGTGGCTGCGATGCAAAAGGCACGTGCCTTATTTTCCACATTCTCATTTACTTCCAGGCGAAGGCTTAAGAGTCGCGTCCCCTGCGGCTCTCACTTCTGTTTGCACACACCTGCAGCCTCAAGGCCCCTCCCTGGGCCCAGCTGTTCTTCACTCCCTGTCTCCTGCTGCCTCCGAGATGGAGCCGGAGACAGGAGGAGGGTGGAGGGCAGAGCTGGGAAAGCAGGATGGGGGTGCCCGGCTCTCTGTGTGTCCTGCCGCAGCGAGGCTCCGACAGGTGAGGGGGCCCCCAGCCCCGGGCGCCATTTGGCTTCTGTTGGGGACAGCAACACTTCAGGGCGTATTTGTCACTGACCTGTCCAGGCCCAGTTGACTGGAGTCACACTGGACATGCAGAATCAGGAAATGCATTTCCCCTCATGTTGGCAGCCTCTGCGCCACCTCAGAGCTGGTACCTCCCACCTGGGGCCAGTGAGGCGGCCGGTGATGGTCCCTCCCAGGTCAAGGGCTTCGTCTAGGAGACGAGGCAGGGTCTGTGCCGGTGGGCGTTGGACCTGGTAGCTTTTCAGGTTTTGTCATTTCACGGAGGGATGCCTGTTTTAACAAGGTTCCCGGGTAGCGTTTGACTTAAATTCGTTAAGAAAGGAGGGTGTGCGCAGGGAGGGTAGGAGATGTGTTTTGTACAGGCTTCTGGCTGCAGCGCCATCGCTGCCTGAAAGGGAGGAAGCCAGCTAGACAGCGGGCGCCGGTGGTTAAGGCCCCCTTTGTCCTCCGATTCCGGGATCAATGACCCAGTTGTATTCATTTGTCTTCATTACAGTGTGAATGGCTGATACAGTAGGGAACCGCGCATCGATTTTTCACAGGAGCGATAAGCCAGGCTGCTCTCGGCCATGTTCTCGGGACAGCAGATCCGGAGGCACAGGGAGCTGCACGCCGGGAGATTCTCGGTCCCCGCCCCCCCCCCCCCCCCCACACACACACATGAAGTGTGCAAGGGCCTTCAGCCACCTCTTCCAGGAGGGGCTGGCTCCGGGTCCGGCAGGCCGGGTGGCCCTGGAACCGGGGCTCAGGGACAGCTCCCCCGGGTGGCCGCTCCCCCTGGGGCCGGAGGGGCCCCTCTGGCCAACTCCACTGAAATGGCGAAGCTGGCGCCTCTCCCTGGCGCCTGGTGCCCGGAGGGCTCAGGGCCGGAAGGAAGCCTCTTCTCCCAGGACCGCCCCCAAGGCCATCATTTCATCCCGCGGTCCGATCCCAAGTCCGTTTCCAACCCAGCGAGCGCGGCCCGTGACCACGGGGCAGTCACGTCCAGGTGGGCGAGGCCAGGAATCCACCCAACCGCTGCTAAGCGTTTCCAGGTGTCTCTATGCGGGACGGGGAAGCCGAGGTCAAGGGCCTGCGCGGTGACGTAGCCGGGGAGGACCGCGCAGGGGCCTGCGTGGTGACGTGGCCGTGGAAGACCGCGTAGGGGCCTGCGTGGTGACGTAGCCGTGGGGGACCGCGCAGGGGCCTGCGTCTGACGTAGCCGTGGAAGACCGCGCAGGGGCCTGCGTGGTGACGTGGCCGTGGAAGACCGCGCAGGGGCCTGCGTGGTGACGTGGCCGTGGGGGACCGCGCAGGGGCCTGCGTCTGACGTAGCCGTGGAAGACCGCGCAGGGGCCTGCGTGGTGACGTGGCCGTGGGGGACCGCGCAGGGGCCTGCGTCTGACGTAGCCGTGGAAGACCGCGCAGGGGCCTGCGTGGTGACGTGGCCGTGGGGGACCGCGCAGGGGCCTGCGTCTGACGTAGCCGTGGAAGACCGCGTAGGGGCCTGCGTGGTGACGTAGCCGTGGGGGACCGCGCAGGGGCCTGCGTCTGACGTAGCCGTGGAAGACCGCGCAGGGGCCTGCGTGGTGACGTAGCCGTGGAAGACCGCGCAGGGGCCTGCGTGGTGACGTAGCCGTGGGGGACCACGCAGGGGCCTGCGTCTGACGTAGCCGTGGAAGACGGCGTAGGGGCCTGCGTGGTGACGTAGCCGTGGGGTACCGCGCAGGGGCCTGCGTGGTGACGTAGCCGGGGGGGACTGCGCAGGGGCCTGCGTAGTGACGTGGCTGTGGAAGACCGCGCAGGGGCCTGCGTGGTGACGTAGCCGTGGGGGACCGCGCAGGGGCCTGCGTGGTGACGTAGCCGTGGGGGACCGCGCAGGGGCCTGCGTGGTGACGTAGCCGTGGGGGACCGCGCAGGGGCCTGCGTCTGATGTAGCCGTGGAAGACCGCGTAGGGGCCTGCGTGGTGACGTAGCCGTGGGGGACCACGCAGGGGCCTGCGTCTGACGTAGCCGTGGAAGACTGCGTAGGGGCCTGCGTGGTGACGTAGCCGTGGGGTACCGCGGAGGGGCCTGCGTGGTGACGTAGCCGTGGGGGACTGCGCAGGGGCCTGCGTAGTGACGTGGCTGTGGAAGACCGCGCAGGGGCCTGCGTGGTGACGTAGCCGTGGGGGACCGCGCAGGGGCCTGCGTGGTGACGTAGCCGTGGGGGACCGCGCAGGGGCCTGCGTGGTGACGTAGCCGTGGGGGACCGCGCAGGGGCCTGCGTCTGAAGTAGCCGTGGAAGACCGCCAAGGGGCCTGCGTGGTGACGTAGCCGTGGGGGACTGCATAGGGGCCTGCGTCCGGCGTAGCCGTGGAAGACCGCGTAGGGGCCTGCGTGGTGACGTAGCCGTGGGGGACCGCGCAGGGGCCTGCGTCTGGCGTAGCCGTGGAAGACCGCGTAGGGGCCTGCGTGGTGACGTAGCCGTGGGGGACTGCATAGGGGCCTGCGTCCGGCGTAGCCGTGGAAGACCGCGTAGGGGCCTGCGTGGTGACGTAGCCGTGGGGGACCGCGGAGGGGCCTGCGTGGTGACGTAGCCGTGGAAGACCGCGTAGGGGCCTGCGTGGTGACGTAGCCGTGGAAGACCGCGTAGGGGCCTTCGTGGTGACGTAGCCGTGGGGGACTGCATAGGGGCCTGCGTCCGGCGTAGCCGTGGAAGACCGCGTAGGGGCCTGCGTGGTGACGTAGCCGTGGGGGACCGCGCAGGGGCCTGCGTCTGGCGTAGCCGTGGAGGGCCGACCGTGCAGGTGCGAGGTGTGGTGGCTCAGGGCGGGGCCCAGCCTGGCGGAAACGGGAGGAAATGGAAGAGCCATCTGTGCAGGGGCGACGCTCGGGGGCGAGTCGGAGTCAGGCGAGCGATGAAGGGGCAGCCGGGCTCCCAGGAGGAGCGGCCTGTGCAAACGCCCAGAGGTGGGAGCCAGGTGCGTGCGCTGGGCTGGTTGCCTGGGGGATGGGGTTGGGGGTGGGGGTCAGAGCCCTGTGGGAAGATGGGGTCGATGAGGTGAGTGGCCACTTTGGGAGGAATCAGAAAAGGAAGAAATAGCCCGGGTTCGATTCCGGGCAGAGGGCACTTACCTCCCTTGCTGGCTTGCTCCCAGCCCTGGTTGGGGCTCGTGCAGGAAGCAGCCAATCAAGGTATCTCTCTCACATCGATGTTTCTCTCTGTCTCCCCCTCCCTTCCACTCTCTAAAAATCAATGGAGCCTGGCCATCAAGGCTGGGTGGTTGAGCATGGACCCTCCAAACAAGGAGGTTACAGTTCAATTCCCGGTCAGGGCACATGCCTAGGTTGCGGGATTGATCCCCGGGGCGTGCAGGAGGCAGCCGATCCATGATTCTCATCATTGATGTTTCTCTCTCTCTCCCCCTCTCCCTTCCTCTCTCTGAAATCATAATTACAAAAACAAAACAAAATAAAAATCAATAGCAAAATATCCTCTGGTGAAGATTAACAAAAAACAGAAAGGAAGGCATACCCAGGGGTCCAGGACAGTCTTATATCGCCAGCGGGCAGAAAGCCACAGGCTCTGCCGGGCGTCTGGTCTTGTCCCCGTGCGGGTGGGAGCAGGCAGGCCAGCCAGAGGCCGCAGAGCAGGCTGGGCTGCTGGAGCGGAGGGGCCAGAGGTCCTTTCACGCCAGATTAGACACGAATCACTCGGAGGGTCCTGCCACGCCCCGCCGCTTCTAAAGGTCACGGGTCCCCAGAGTCTGGCATTAGAATTTGTAGCTGCCGCTGGTCCAGTGGGAAGGCCCTGGTCAGGGGTCAGCGTCCTATTTGCAGTCGGCCCCATGCGAGGGTGCCGCAGCCCAAGGCAGCGAGGCAGGGGAGGACATGCAGGGCTGTCAGGAGATCCCGGAGGCCAGAGGGTGGCCGGGATGCTCCTGGCTCTGCAAACCCTCCGCAGCCCTGCTTGGTGTGTGGGAATCCAGGAGCCTCCCTCGGCCTCACAGCAGGCGTAACATCCCGAATCCTGGGCCGCTCCCAGGGTGAGAACACTGGGGTGCAAGGCCCCCGCCCGGCCCTGTGGGCCTCGAGGGCAGGGCGGCCTCCTCGCTGGCCTGGTCCAGCTTGTGTAACGGAGCTCACTTGATTTTCCCTAAGAAGGGAGTCCCAGCACAGTTCATAGGGTCCTAGAAGAGGCATTGGCGTCAAATGCCAGTGCCGGATAAACCAGGCGCATCCCTCGGCATCTCGCTCAACTCCTTGGGACCTGTGGTTTCTCATCTATAAAGAGGGCCAGCCTCCCCTCGCAGGGCTAAACACTGAAGGAGACGAGGCCCAGCTCAGTTCTTCCAGCCACAGTGGGTCGGCACCGTGCAGGGGACCACTCGCCTGCCTCTCTGGTTCCGCCCAGGGACCCCAGCCTGGGCCGGCTTTCCGGCCGCTCTGCAGCTGGTGGCCGGCAGGGGGCAGCAACGAAACGCGCGGCCCAGGCGGTCTGGCTGCGTTCCTCGCAGTCTGGGATAGAAAGTTCTCTGCATCAGTGAATGCAGTTTGGGTGGATTTGTTTCCAAATGGGTGATGTTTGAGATTCCTTTCTGAAAGCCCTCCACATCTGGCATTCAAAGAAAACCACCCGTCTAGACGCTCAGGCCGATAGCAGCTTGTCTGAAATGCAGGCCCCTTTCCCTGCTTCCCTGCTCAGGCCGCCGCCCTCCCTCCCTCCTTCTCTTCGTGTGACCTTTTATCTCAGCGGGAGCTCCGACTAGAAAGAGGATTCTGGAAATGTGGTGTGTTTCTCATTAAGTTTCTGCAGCACAGCAGTCACGTGACAAAGCCCCCCCCCCCCCCTCCTTTCTTTATCGAGCGTATCTACAATAACTCCTGCGGCCGAGGTTTTATTTCATCTGAGACGATTGGAGACTGAAGTCTTGTTGAGAGGGAGATTTTAAAAAACCTGTTTCTAGGGTGCTGGTGGCCTGTTTGGTTCCTTTTTCCTTGACGTTGAAGTGGTCAAACAGAATTCCGAATGGAAGCAGTCCTCGGTGGGGGGCCTGATGTCCCCTTGCCCTTCTCTTTCCAAACCTGAACGTTTCCTTCTCTCAAGCTTGAGGCTGTGACCTGGGAGATTTTAAGGATGGGGAGCCTGGTGGCCGGAGGAGGGTCATTACTGTGAGCCAGCTGCTCCCTCCCCTGAAGGTGTGAGAGGCTGTCGTCAGGGCCCAGGGGTCCATGGCAACGGAGGAGAGAGCGAGGAGGACGAGGACGCAGGTCCTGACAGCTGCCTCTCGCCTTTGCCTCTCCCCAGGCCCTCCTGCCTCTGTGAAATGAAAAGCCGCAGGTCGAAGTCTGTGCAGCTGGTGTCTCCAAACGGGCCCACAGCTTCCAGCCTGAAGCAAAGAGCAGGAATCTGTCACACCTGTGCGGTGAGCACTGCACGAGGAGTCCTTCCTTACCCATCGCTCGGCCACCTGGGCATCTCTTCATCTCTTCCCTCATACTCACCTTGGCCGTGGAGGTGGGCGTGGCCGGCCTTTCGTTTTCCTCTGAGCAGCAGCGGGCTGGATCTCCTGGGGCACCATCTTAGGGCTGTCGTGGGCCCTGCCCCGCACTGCACGGCCCAGAGGTGACCCACAGGCAGGGGTGCTGATGGCTGTCCCCATGCCTGGGTGTCTTCGAACCTTTGCCCTTCCCTTCTCCCCCTGACGCATCACAGCACCCTCTATTGCCAGCATTCTAGAAGCCTTGAGGATTCAGCCCCACCCACTGAACAGCAGAATGCAAACAAGGAGTGGGTGTCTGTTTCCAGTCCGACTGCCCCTAACTCCTGTGGGACCTGGGCGAGTCCGTTCCCCTCCCTTTGTGCTTGTCCTCATCTTTAGGATCCAGCTTGGATCTGAGGTTCACTCAACTCTCAGCTCAAACTGCCTGTGGCAGGGGCCAGCAAGCTATTGTCCACAGCGGCCTATTTGTCTACATAAAGTTTTATTGGCACACAGCCCCGCCATCATGGACGCACTTCCTGTGGCTGCCTTTGTCTACACCTGCAACAGCAGAATGAGTGGTTGTGACAGGCACTGACTGCACGGCCCACGGAGCCCCAGGTTTCACCACCTGGCTCTCCACAGTTTGCCGAACTCTGGGGCTCCGTGGCCCAGTCTTACTTATTTTCCCTGGACTGAGGCGGAGTTGCTCCCAGAGCTACTGTCATTTTACTTTGCGGTGACAATGCACTTGAATGAGGCCGAGGAGGCTTTCCAGGATCCCAGCCAGAGAGCCGGTGAAGGACTCTGTGTTAGTCTGCTCGGCCGCCATAGCAAATACGCAGACGGGGTGGTTTAAACAATAGACATTTATTTTCTCCCTGTTCTGGAGGCTGGCAGTCCATGATCATGCTAGCAAATTCTGTCTCTCTCTTGGTCCATAGGCAGCTGCCATTTCACTGTGGCCTCACATGGTCTCTTCTTGGTATGTGTGTGTGTGGAGAGAGAGAGAGAGAGAGAGAAAGAGAGAGAGAGAGAGAGAGGGAGTTGATTGCATGCTGGCTCTCTGGTGCTCTTTTGACAAGGACACTAATTCTGTTGGATTAGGGCCTCACCCTTATAACCTTGTTTAACCTTAATTACTTCCTTATAGGCCCCATCTCCAAATACAGTCACCTTGGAGTTGGGATTTCACCATATGAATTTGTGGGGAGGCCAGGGTAGAAACACAATTCAGTCCATAACAGAACCTTATTCCTTTTCTCAGGAGACTTTCTCATTACGCCAACAGGACAGATGGGGAAGCTAAGGCAGTGTGTGTGTGTGTGTGTGTGTGTGTGTGTGTGTGTATGTGTGTGTGTGTGGCGGGGGGTGGTCAGATGCTTGCTCTGAGCCTTAGGACAGTTTCCCCAGAAGCAAACCCTGAGATGAGGACTTATGTGCAAGTGATGCACTGGAGATGTGCTTCTTGGGGGACTGGGAGTCAGGGAGAGGCAAGGTGAGAGCTCAGGTGAGTCCCCGCAGGGGGTGGCTTCATCCTGACCCTGCAGGGGAGGGCTGGAGTGTGAGTTCCATCTCCTGAGTCTGAGACACCTGCACCTGTCAGTCACTGCCTAAGGGCTGCCCTGGGGGGACAGTAAGTCCCCAGCATTTCCAATCTCTGCAGGTGTGGGCAGAGCAGCTCTAGTGGCCGGAGCACAGTCCCTCACCGGGAGCTGCCAGATCACGCAGGAGCCAGCATGGGGAGGGAGGGCCACCCAGCAGCTGTAAAAGGGACAGGAGGGCATCCGGGCAGGGCACTGGCTGCGGGACTACCTCCCACAAAGGAAAGCCCGAGCCAGTAACAAGATGCACATGAAGAGTGCCCAGGACCAATCTGGCAGAACGGGATTTGGCACATCTGCAGGAATGCGTGAAGTCCTCTGAGGAAGGGACTAAACCTTTTGCATTCTTGCATTCCCAGACGTGGCACACAGTAGGTGCTCAGTTAGGCTGGAGGGCTGGTTGCAGAGTGGCTGAGTGGATGTTTGGGGAGGGGTTGGGGGGGGATGGGCGACAGGCTGGGATCAGAGGCAGAGGGCCAGCCCGCCTCAGGTCTCTCCTCACAGCTGGGACACCTGCTCACAACTGACATCCAGGAAGGTTTCAAGTTTGAGCGTTTGCCCCCAAAAAGGACTTTTCTGAGTCTGGGTTTCAAAGACTTTCTTTGCCACACAGGGCAATGGCCTTTCCCCAGGGGTGGGGTGAAGGAGTGGGGCACGGAAATGTTGGGGGTAGTGGGGGGGTGGGAGCAGAGGACTCGAATCTGGCCAGAGTGGGATTTTGTTTCTATCTTCATTGTTTTTCACACGTCTTGGAACAAACAGACGGTGGCTGGTTTCACCCGCTCTTGGACTGTTTTTTTTTGTTGTTTTTTTTTTTCCCCCTTTGGGAGAATTGAACTGAAAAACTATTAGAAATAATGAGAGTTCAGTAAGGCAGCCCGTCACGAAACAAATGTACAAAAATCAATAGCTTTGCTATTTCCAACAGTAACCACTGAGGAAAAAAATAATGGAAAAGAAAGATCTCGTTCACAATAGAAACCCAAGATATTTATCACCTCCAGGCCAGGTTCTGGGAGAAGACACAAGGGCGACACCCTCCTCCCTCTGTGCCAGGCACCCCTCTGTGATGGCAGAGAGAGCTGTTGTGACTATGGTTGAGGGCCTGGTCCCCACCTCTGCCGCGGGGCAGGACGATTGGGAGCCGGCATTGCCCCGCCCGGGCTCTCTTGGTGGGAGTGATTTTGCTTCCTCCAGGGCATGTTGAAGATATAAGCTCATGACAGCTGCTCTGGGAAGCTGCCAAGGGGCTGCTGGGCCTGCGGGTTGCCCGCTGTGGTTGCTGTGGGTGGTCACCCGCGCCTGGACAGGGCCGGGGAGCAGGCCTTCGGCTGGAGCAGGGAGCCAGAGTATGTGGCGCTGTCTCCTGGAGCCCGGCTGACTCTGGAAGGCTGCAGAGTTGACCACTCTGACCGCTCTGGGGTGTCCCGATGGACAAGCTGGCCTGCCAGTGTGAGTGCTGGGCACAGAAGATACCATCGGCAGGGGTTTCTCCTGTAACCAGGATGCTTTCATGTCTAGGATGGGGTTAAGTCAAGCAAGAAATCCAGGCCTTTTTTTAAAAACAGATCAGTGAGGAGAGAGAATCATTGGTAAACTGCCTCCTACACGCCCCTACTGGGGATCAGGCCCGCGACCTGGGCATGTGCCCTGACCAGGAGTTGAACCACGACCTCCTGGTTCATAGGTCGACACTCAACCACTGAGCCACACCAACTGGGCCCAGGGCTTTTTTTTTAAATCTCAGGGATATTCTAGGATCACCTCTAACTTGGGTGGAAGTATCACATACATTGGTCAGAACAGGATGTCTTTCCTTTGCAGATGGTAGAAAACCTAGCACCCCTCACAAAATGAAGTAAAAATATAGAACAAAACAGCAGTATCCCACCCATTTTCCTTTGCACAGGGCACACCAGCTTGTCTGCCCACTGCCGGCCCCCCTGGCTGCCTAAGGAGCTTGCTTCGCCCATTCTCATGGCCGTCCAGGAATGAAGGGGTACCCATTGCCCCCCAGGCCCAGCCTGACAGTGACAGGCAGGAGAAGTGGGTCAGTGCCCCAGCTCCCTCGCCCCTCAGGTAGGCTGGCTCTGAAATGTGTGCCCCAGGCGGTCTCCCAGAGTTCCTAGCGGGACTCAGCCCAAGTTGGCCTTGAGCTGTTACCTGCTCAGTAATGCACCTTGTCTTCCTGGTCTCACCTCTTCTCCTGCTGGGTTATCTGGCATCACTTCTCAAATAAACTCTTTGCAAATGAATGTTTTAGGGAAAGCCTCCACAGAGAGAGAGATTTAGCCCCATATAACGAATCTAGGCATAGATTTGGCTTCAGGTAGGGTTGCACCCAGCAGACTCAAATACTATTAGGACTTGATTTCTCTTTTCACATCACTTGGCTCTGCTTTCTTTTGAGTCAGAAATTCTCAGTGCAGTGGCCGCCAGCAGTTCCAGGTTGATACTCTCCCAACTAAACCAGCGTGGCAGAATAAAAGGAGAACTTTTTTTTTTGCCAGTAGTTCCATGAAAATCATAGAGTTGCAAATCACCGTCCCGACTTGCACATCTCTGAGCCATCCCTGAGGCCGGGTGGATGGAATGGTCCGATTGGCCAGTCCCGAGTTTTGGGCCTGTGGTTCCCTTTCAAGTCCTCTTCTGCACACTCCCATTCTGCGTCCCTGCCCACTCCTTTGCATATCCTGCAGGGACCGGAAGCAGGGACGGGACTCATGTTTTGGAGGTAGTTAAGGGCAGGTGCTTGCCCCTGTGCACATGCTGATGCCCAGCTGTAGAAGGGAGGGGCCTTGAACTTACCTGAACCTCTAGAATCGGATCCCCTGCTGACCTTCAGACGACATTGGTGAACATTTTCAGTGTCTGTGGGTAAGCCAGACCACTCTTCCCCTCCACATTATGAGGTAAAAGGAGAGTGAACATCCCAGCTGAAGCACTGCACCCCTCTGCTTTTCTGACTGGTGATTTCTGTAGAAGAAACCAATCTTTGACGAGAAAATAGGAGGTGGGAAGGGACCTAATATCTGGAGCGTGGCCACTGTGAGCCGGACGTCATCTTCGCGCTGTAGGCTGTGATCCATTTAAAGTCAACCGGGTACTGCTCCCCTGAACCTGGGAGATGTCACCTCAGATGCCGAAAAAGGCAGGACAGGGGCTTCGCGCCCGGGCTGTTGGGCCCTGGGCCACTGTGTTTCCACCGTCCGAGATGCTTTCCCTCGGAGATGGTGTTGGAGAGGGAAGTCTATCTGCGGGTTCTGTGGATAAGAGAAACTCTTCCCCCTGGTCTGAGTCCTGTGATAGTGGGAAGGAACAATTTTAAGCAAGTGGGGCATCGTCATACGTGGTGTTAAGAATTAGAAGCAACCCATCGATGCTTGTGAAACCACAGAAAGCTTGATAGCTGAGAGCAAGCAGATTGCTCAGATCCAGGCCTGAGAAACTTGTCATCTGTGTCATTCACAGTGCAGGCAGGAGGGACTGAGGACGGCGTGGCCCCAGAGAGCAAGGACTCTGCCTGCGTCGTGATGACTCTGTCCCCGGAGCCCAGCACTGTGCCTGACACACAGC